CAGCAGGAAGGGTGGTTTTATTAGACAACTTGATGCTAAAATTCAAACAGAGAATAAACAGGCAAGAATGGCCAGGAAATTTTTGAAAAACCAGACTAATGAGGAGAAATTACCAAGAACCAGACAGTAAAACACATAAAAGCTGTAATAATTTCTGAAAAATAAAAATATAGAGTATAGAAGAGAGACTAACATCACCAGATCTTACCCACCACTGTGGTTCTTTGCTGTACAAATGCACTATGATAGCAAGATTACCAAAATACACACACACCAGTACTGAAAGATGCATACACAGCACTCTCAAAATTGAATTGTTTTTTGATCAGAAGATTTACACTCTGTTTCAGCTACAGTACCCACCCTGATCTCATGGCCTCACAATTCCTTCAGCACAAGTGTTGAGTTTTTTTAAAAGAAGAAAGCCCCAAACAAAATACAAGTATGTTCATGAACTAGTCAAACTAATCAATTTTTCTTAAGAAGGTTAAGAATATTCTCAGCGGTATAAACGAAACAAGATACCTAAATCTCATTTGGGGCTCAAATTTACTTTACTGGTCACAATAAAACCAAGAAGGAACAATCTTTGACCTCTTACTAGATGAACTTCCATTCTAACCTTTATCATCTTCTATTTTCTACTTTAGACAACCAGTAACTTCTGTTGTCTGTTGGAAATTCCAAGCAATTCCACTGCTGCCAATAATTTTGGAGGTGATTTACTTCCAAATGCCTCCTCCTCACAGCCCCAAGAAAGAAGAGCAGCTTATTCATTATCTCATTTGATTCTACACTATCTTCTGAGGGATAACTTTTTTTTTTTTAGTATGCAAAGCCAAGCCCAGGGAAGCTAAAGCTAATAAATGGGAGCCAGAACTTAAGTCCCTTGTCTCCAAGGTCAGTGATTTCTATTTTTTAAAATCCCAATTTCTTACAGAATATTTTATTCCATAACACTCTAAGGCAGAACTCTAGAAATTACTCCTTAAAAAAAAACAACAACAAAAACAATCTAGGGACCCTTGCCACTGGTAGGTTTGGCAATATTCACAAAAGGCCAAGATATATTGCAATTTACAGTTTTGCTGAGGCAATAAATTCGACTAGTATACCTTGAGAAATGCCTGTCTAGGAGAGCAAGCCACAATCTAATGAGGGAATGAATCAAATCAAATTCCCAGAATCTGCATCTCAATATGGCTTTAATCTCTATTGGATTCTTGAAGTGATTTTTAAAATTTACTTCATTTGTAGAAATCACCATCAAATGGGAGAAAATTTTAGTGTGAACTAAAAAAGGTGGCTGACTTGTAATCTAAATACTTCCAAAGGAACTCAAAATGGCAATGCGATCAAGTACAAAGCCAGAATCCTGTCAAATGCTTCTATATCCAAGAATTTAGGGGACTTCCCTGGTGGCCCAGTGGTTAAGACTTCATCTTCCAATGCAGGGGTTGCGGGTTCAATCCCTGGTCGGGGAGCTAAGATCCCACATGCCTCGTAGCCAAAGAAACCAAAACATAAAACAAGCAATATTTTAACAAATTCAATAGACTTTAAAAATGGTCCAAATCAAAAAACAAACAAAAAACTTAAAATATACTCCATCGCACATTTAAAAAATACAGATACAATGGTATAATCAAAATAACATATACCAGGCCACATCATCAACCCAGTACATTTTGCCATATACATTAACGGATACAATACAGAGTCAATGAGCAATTTAAAAATAGGGTGTTCCCTGGCAGTCCAGTGGTTAGGACTTGGCGCTTTCACTGCCGTGGGCCCAGGTTCAATCCCTCGCTGGGGAACTAAGATCCCACAAGCTGCACAGCACGGCCAAAAAAAAAAGAAATTTAAAAATAAAATGTTTTTAAAACTGCAGAACCTTTTCTTTCAAGAAAGCTCACATAGATACCCAATATGTAAAACAAGTCAACAGAGCAGTACTGAGGACTGAAGAAGCCCTCACCAACCATCCAAGGAGTTTCACAGTGAAAACTGGGCTGCCTAGTCCAATGCCCTTATTTTCATAAATTAGGAAACCGAGATACAGACACAACAGGATTACTTAAGGTTATACTGCCAGTCAATGGCAGAGCTGGGACCAAGACCAACTCTTTCTACAGTGCTTCTGACAGCACCTGTCTTGTTGGTCTACTAAAGAAGTCAGTTCTTATGAACTCAGCCTAAGGACTTAACATCTATGTTCAGTGTTGCTTCAGGAAACTCAAACTGATCTAACCTATATCTTGCATACAAGACCCATTTCTGGTCTTCTGAGGCAAAAATAAAACAAACAAAAAGGAAATTACCTCATGTTCTTTCTCTTGTAGCAAAAGAACAATGTCTCCTGGTTCCACTCCTGGGGCCTGGTCTGCTTCCCCAGTAAATGTAATTCTCTGTCCATGTTTCATGCCTTTGTCTACGTGGACTTCAAGAATCTTGACTTCTTTAATCACCTTCTTCCCTTCACATTTTTTACAGCGGTCCTTTTCATTAATTACCTCCCCTGGAAAAAGAGGTCATTCAAACTTCCAGCAAGAGTACTATACCGCACTCTTAAGTAAGATAGGTATTGATAATGCCTTTATTCACTAAATAAATTTCCTGAACGTCTTTAAACTGCTACCTGAACTGTTGATTGAAATATCATTCTTAATAACAAAAACTCACATCTTACTGCAGGTTACCTAAAGGACCCAGCTACCTAGTCTCCTCTATTGCAGAGTATAAAGTATCTCAAACAATATTTTCTTAACTCCTGACGCTACTTCCTAAGTTAAAACAAAACCTAATGATCAAGCAAACAAAATGGGTGGTCGGATGCTGGAACTTCTACAACTGCTTTTTCATTTTTTGGTCTTAGTTTCATTTAAATTTAACAATGGAGAGAGACAACCCAAATAAGGATTTAAATATCCTTTATAACTCTAACAGGTTTTTTCTTCTATGTATTCTTCTGAAATATTTGATCAGTGCTATAATAAAATAAAACCAAAGCTGTACATAGTATACTGTGAAAAAAAAAATACCATCAATTTCTGATGGCTGATTAGTGGCACACTTTAATGCTCAGATGACATGTATAAGTGACTTCAGGAACACTGCTTCTGCAAAGTATGTTCTGCAAAGCACCAGTTCCGTAAAATGGTAATGGCACATGGGAAAAGATTTCAGTCAATTCTGATTCCTTGAGAGTGGGAATTGTTAGCAACTTTAATAAGGTAAAATGCCCTGAGACGCTCCAGGAGGGGAATATGATATGCAGCTTCTCCAAATTATCTTGTCTCTTCCAGAAGCAATTTGGAAAAGGATGTTCTAGAACTGCCCAATGTGGTAGCCACTAGCCAATGTGGCTATTTAATTTAAAAATAATTAAAAGTTCAGGGCTTCCCTGGTGGCGCAGTGGTTGAGAGTCTGCCTGCCGATGCAGGGGACACGGGTTTATGCCCCAGTCCGGGAAGATCCCACATGCCGCGGAGCGGCTGGGCCCGTGAGCCATGGCCGCTGAGCCTGCGCGTCCGGAGCCTGTGCTCCGCAACGGGAGAGGCCACAACAGTGAGAGGCCCGCGTACCACAAAAAAAAAAAAAAAAAAAAAGGTTCAGATCCTCAGTCATACACAGGTGGCTAGTGGCTACTATACTAGACATTACATACACAGAACTTTCCCATCATCACAGAAAAATTCTTTTGGATAGCACTGCTCTAGAACAAGGGATGGCAAACTAAGGCTCACAGGCCAAAATGGGCATGCCCTTGTTTCTATAAGTAATGTTTATCTAGAAGATAGTCATGCCCACTTGTTTACATATTGTCTCTGGCTATAAAAGTGCTAAAAGGGCAGAAGTGAATAGCAGTTTCAGAAAACATTCGCCCACAAAGCGTAAAATATTTACTTCTGTAAAAAGAGCTTCAATTGCAATAATCTATTCTCAAAAGCTAACTAAAGCTTACAGTAAAATTCTCCACTTATCAGAATGAGAACTAAACAATTTGCTCTCTTGCTTTTACCAAATATAACTTTTTAAAATATAAAGGGACAAAAAACTTTGTCCCATCTTTTTGGAATGAAAAAAGACTAACATTTCACTCAACATAATATAAGTTTATAAGTTTACGGTTTATCTGTGTTCACTGGGCCTATGCATAAAGAAACATTATTTTTACATTTCTCTTTCAGAACCCTCTCTATCTTTAATAAGATGAATACAAACACACGTTGAAAGAGAAAAACTGTAAGCCTCTTCAACTTCTGCGTTCCCAATCCACCCAACACAAAAGCAGAGAAACAGTGGCATGCGTACCTTCTCCATTACAGTCAGAACACACAGACTGCATCTGTTGTACCATTCCTGGAGCCAGCTGTCTAATCATGATGCGTACACCTCGACCCCGACAAGCACTACACTTCTGAACAGCTCCAGACTTTCCACCTTGGCTAAAGCAAGCAAAAGTATAAATTAGAATTTTCCCCCTAGGCCATGACAAATAGGAATTGTGCTTTTCACCTTCATCTTCAACGCCCAATGACTGGTATTTAAAGACTTTCAGAGGTATCAGAAAGTGTTCTGGGTTGGGTAGTCAGTTTGAAGTCATGAACAATTTTTATCTGATATGGACTCAATGTGCCACTGAAAGAATGGATGAAACTCATTTCATAACCAGAAAACACACTTACCCACTGCATGCACTACAGAGTACATTCTTGCTAAGTTGTAGTTTGGTTGTCTTGCCATTATACAGATCTTCTAAAGATACTCTGGGGAGGAAAGAATTAGGTTCAAATTTTGCCAAGTTCTCTTAAATTCAAGATATAAACGATAGCTGATATAGCAAATTCCACTATAACCTTTTAAACAAAGAATTCAAGAACACGTTACATAAATCAACTGAGTGAGATTTTATTTTGTAGCTCAAATTGTTTATGGCTATAAACAATATATGTATTGCTGAAAGCCAGAACTTAAAAGATCAGGCCAATAATTTACTGTGCTGCATTTCCTGATAAAGCTGATAACTGCACAAACTCAAAACATCACACCTTCTTCTGGCCTCAAGGAAGACCTCCACCTAATCCAACCCCCTGAATGAGGTAAAATTATTATCCTCATGTTACAGGACAAAATTGAGGCACAGAGAAGTAACTTGCCCAAGATCACATAGGCAGTCTGCCTCCAGAGTCCAGGCTCTACTATAGGGCTCTGTCCCCTTCAAGGACAATTCAGAAACGCTACAACGTTACATCACAATTTACGGGAAGGAATTAGATTGCATATGTCTTAAAAAAAGAAAAAAAATTGGCCTTATCTAATGTGAAAGACTAGGTTTCCAAGAGAGAGCCTACAAGTTTTAGGTCTGAAAAATGCAGTGAATTATAAGCAAAACTTGAGCAACTTTTACAAAAATTTCAAAGGGGTCTATGACCCCAAAATGGCCAAGTTAAAAAGCCTATTAAAAATCCCAACTGATAAAACCCAACTCGTCTTTATTCACACAGCATATCTGAACTGCAGGACCATTCATTTCCAAATAAACATCAAAAAAAAAAATCTATATACATCAAAAGTCTCAAAAGTATTATTTACAATTTGCAAGCAATGCATTTAATTTGGTTTTACCCTTCTCATGGTGTTTTTAAATCTCCTTTAATGGTAAAGGTTTACTTTAAAATAGAGGAACAGGGCTTCCCTGGTGGCACGGTGGTTGGGAGTCCGCCTGCCGATGCAGGGGACACGGGTTCGTGCCCCGGTCGGGGAAGATCCCACATGCCGCGGAGCAGCTGGGCCCGTGAGCCATGGCCGCTGAGTCTGCGCGTCCGGAGCCTGTACTCCGCAGCGGGAGAGGCCACAGCAGAGAGGCCACAGCAGAGAGGCCCACGTACCGCAAAAAAAAAAAAAAAAAAAAAAATAGCGAGGAAAGAAAGAAGTTAAATGTGCTTTGCAAAGCACCTATACTATTTTGTGGCATTCAAACTTTCTCAAAATTGTTATCTTTTATACATTCTAGACAGTATAATAAAACATTTATGGTCAAAACACTATCAGCACTTCCAAACAACGGCATATCTAGACCTTAGACCAAAGCACTTGGTTCCATCAGGTTTTAACCTCCTCCTAAGAACCTTTAACCAACTATTTACATGATAGGTAGGTCTTCTTCCCCTTACATATTAAACTGCAATTAGTATGCAACACCGCTGTGTAAGAGGCCAGAAATATCTTCACTTCAAGAAACATGGCAAAAGAAGGAAAAATGTGGGTAATGGTCTAGTGAAGCTGGCACTCTCCACCAGTGGGGCTAAACTGGCACAATCCTCTACAAGGCAATTTAGTTATATTTATCAGCCTCAAAACACTGATGCCTGCCCAGGAATCTCTGCCAAGGAGAGACAAAGCTGTATATAAAGATACTCACAGCAGCACTATTTATGATAGGAAAAAACTAATAACATCCTATAGAAAAGGGAATGATTAAATAAATGATGGAATGGAATATTATAAAGCCACCCAAAATGAAATGTTGTAATAACAGGAAAATTTTAACAAATTACACTTTACTTTCTCTTACCTACTCAAATGTATAAACTAGATACTATGAAATATTTCAAATAAACACTTGAACTTCAGTTTCTGGCATTTGCTACTATAACCATTACTGGTCCATGAAAAGTTAATGGGACAAAAGATCTCACAAATTTTGCAAAGTAAAATAGTTATTTTCATATTGCGTTCACAGTCTAAGATCAAGGTCAGATACCATTCATATGCTGGCAGGTTAATGTCAGGCTTGAGGCCAGCAAGCTCAGTGGAAATCAATTTAGGACAATTCAGACTGAGGAACAAGTAATGAGTTACTATAACATGTTAACAAACTAGCCAGATGGTCACTCAATTTGTAAGTTTTTAAATAAAAAGTAACTCAGGACGTTTAAATACTTCAAAAAGAATCTTCATAATTGAAATTTTAAAAACAGGCAGCCTCACAGGCATATACCAAAACAATCTTCCTACTCTGTAAAAACACCAACCATCCTTTAAGATCTGTTAGCAAAATACCAACATTCAGGTTATTAAATTCAACTTAGTCACCCAATGAGGACAGCATGGTAAATGGAAGATTTTTTTTTTCTAATGGACAGTATTTTTTGATGCCTCTTCTCTCTTTTACTGAGTACTTCTACTTGAAAAAAAGTATTTAGCATTTTTTTAAAAAAAGAAAAAAGATATTCACTTGAGTGGATGCATCATGTCTTCTCCTCTTCTTCTGCCATTTCGACTTCTGCTCTGATTGCCCATGAAGCCGAATAATCCCCCACCAAAAATGTGAGAGAAAATATCATCCATGCCACCACCTCCGCCGCTACCTTCCCGAAGACCTTGTTCTCCATATCTGTCATATAGTTCGCGCTTCTCAGGATTTGATAGTACTTCATATGCAAAACTTATTTCTTTGAACTATAAAGAAAAAGTAAAACAATTGGATTTACAAATAAAAAGCTATAGGAATCTAGAATTCATTGAATTCTAAAGAAAAGTGACAAGTTACCTTTGGTTTGATTCTAGTCCTATTTACCACCTACCACTGCCCAGAATGATAGTATTCCCATTATAAAACCAAAATACTCTTAACATAAAACTTTGGCACTATGGGAATAAATGGTCTTTTCTTACAACATTCCCTTTTTTTCCCAAGAAGGGCGATTTAAGTTTAAAACAGAAATCTCAGGGGAAAAAAGTTTCAAATAACTTACTTTGTCACCAGCATTTGGATTCTTATCGGGATGGTATTCCTTGGCTAACTTTCTGTATGCCTTCAATAAAAGATTTTTTTAAAAAAAGGTTATATATAAAGACCAGTTTAAAGATTTGTGAGTATTAACGTAACATCCAATTTTCTGAGAAGCAATGTTCTAAAATCATAACCTCCCAAAATATCCTTTATTCATTGGCATTGTTGGGCATATTCCATCTTAATACTGTTTTCTCACTAATAACAAAGCAGACAGTAGTTATACTTGAAAACAAGTTATACTAAAGCCAGATACAAACAATGAAACAAAACCACAGAGAAAAACAAAATACTGAAAAATCCCCTATTTTCACTATTGTCAAATGTCTTTGATGGCCCATAAGCAGACCAAGACGACTCCAATAAACTCTAAAGAGAAATGACTGTTAAGCTCTACAGCCTGCAAAAACACTATTATTAAAATTAAGTTAAGCGAAGAGATATGGGAACATATGTATAACTGATTCACTTTGTTAAAAAGCAGAAAGTAACCCACCATTGTAAAGCAATTATACTCCAATAAAGATGTTAAAAAAAAATTAAGCTAAGGTAAGAATCCGGCTCACGATGGCTCCTCTAATTGTAGCATCAGGAAAAAGCCAAGACAAGCTTCTAGGTCATGGTTTATTTTCATACGGTGGATTGATTGGGGTCTTAACTGGAGTGACCTCGGTCTTATGAAGCTGCATACATTTGGGTGGCTCAGATATAAAGCACTTAAGCGTTCATTCACAGACACCTGAATTATGTAACACAGAATAGCATTTCCGGTAAGGTAACAGGAAGTGCTTTTACTCTCAATAGCACCCGTCCCAATGCCTAAGGGGCATTCTCATTTTTCTAAGCTTACAAATCCGGATACTCTAAGCCCCGTGAAGATGCTGTGGGGCTTAATCAAATGCCTCAAATGCTTTGAAATCCTGAGATAAAAGATTCGCAGCAATGCAAACAGCAATAATGAGGCCTTCTATTTATTTTTAGTCAGTGTACACTCAGGTGTTTGGCTGGGACCCACAGCTTTTTCCTGAAACGAGCACATAACATTTGGGTTACCTGCCCACATAACAATGCACCCAGACACAGACCCACGCCACCTCCGGGTCAATGGGCGAGGGAGGAAGAGGGGAAGAAGCTCCGCGGCCGCGGCTCCCAGGAAACATCCCTAAGTTCCCACAGGCACCCGGCGGGGGCGGCCTCGACCCTCCGCCAGGCCCCAGACCAGCGCCGACGCGGCTCGGGCGCCGACGTCCGCGGCGCGGTCAACTCCTCTCCCGGGGCCGGGTTGCGCTGGGCGTCTCGGTCCAACCTGTTTTTCCAGGGTGGTGACCTCGGTGCGGGGAGGGCCGGACAGGCAGCTGCCTCCCGGGAGCGCCCGGCCTCCGGCGCCCGCCGGGGGAGGGAGGAAGGAAGCGTTTTTGTCGTGTTTGCTCAGGGGTGGGTTTTATTTGCTGCATCTGTAGGCGGGCGGGCGGGGCCGGCGGCCCAAGGTCAGCCGAGGCTGGAGTGCGCGGCCCGCGGCGGGCCGGTCTCGCCGCCGGCCCCTAGCCTGGGCCCGCCGCCGCCGGCTAGCGGGCCGCCCCACAGCGCGGCCTGGCAGTCCCAGCCGCGCAGGCCTGCGCCCCTCACACCCTGCCCGGGCGGCCCGCTCCCCAATACCTTCTTCAGCTCGTTCTCGCTGGCGCCGGGCGGGACTCCCAGGATGTCGTACAGCTTCGTGTCGGCCACGTTCGCCATGGCGGCCGGCCTGGCAGCGCTCAGGGAGGAAGGCGGCGGAGCAGGCGGAGCGGAGCCGGGCCCACAGCAGCAGCGGCGGCGGCAGCGGCAGCGCAGGCCGAGCGAGACAGCGAGGGGGAAGCGGGGGCGGGGCCGACCTTTGAACCGACGCACGGCGCGCCGTGACGTTGCTTTGCGGAGCCCGCCTCGAGTGCTTGGCCGAGGTGGTGGCGGCGTTTCGGGCGGTGAGGCAGCGGGTGAGGTGGTCTACTGCCTTGAGGCTCTGGGCCGCTGGGCGAAGTCCAGCGTAGAAACCGGGATAACTAAGTCTGCACGCTACCCTCCGTGACACCAGCTCTCTCCAGAGGCGTTTAGGGGGGTGCTGAAAGGATGAAGAGGCCGAGGCGGCCCACAGCCGCCCCCTCGGTCCGCTTTTAGTCCGGCGGGAGAGAAAGGCGGTTCGGGCTCGCGAGGGTAGTCCTCAGAATCCGAGCTGCCGCCGGTGGACCCTCTGGATCTGGTTCCCTCGGGGTTTACGATGAAAAACAGCACGTGGGTGTGTGTGTGCTGTGTGTGTTTTATATTAGGACATTTTCAGACATTCACCAAAAGTAGTATAGTATACCGAACGGTTAGCTACATTTTGCCCACTTTGTTTCATCTATTCCCCCCATACTCCCTACTTCCAGTGTTTTAAGGGAAATCATTAAGTTTATAAATACTCTATATAAGTCTAACATGACTTTTTAAGGCATAATCACATCACCACATGAAATGAATTCCTTCACCTAATTCTTAGTCCGTGTTTAGATTTTCACAATTGTCTCATGTCCCTTCACAATTGGTTTGTGGCATCTAGATCCACAAGTTCCACCTGTTACCTCCGGATCATGTGTTTAGGTCTCTTGGTAGCTTTAAAATTAGGCAACACCAGAGGTCGAGATGGTATCAGGCAGCCTGGTTGGGCGCACAGTCATCTGGTGATTGTTGCCCATGATTTAGATTTGCTTCAGAAAATGTTTGCTATGCACCTGCCATGTGCTAAGAGGTATGGACGCCTGGACTGGTGGAGTGGAGTGTTAAGAATAAGCCATGGTGCCTACCTTCAACCCAGTAACGATTTATGGAGACAGAAAAAATAAGATGTTCTGATCCTTTGGAACCTGAACTGGTAACAAAGACTCCAGCATAGGCATCTCACTTAGGATAATCCCTTCTCCCTGGCTTTCCCCCAGACCTAGTTTGGAGGGCATTCAGTGCCATGCCAAAGAGTTGAAACTTATCCTGAAAACCCTGGGGAGTTAATTGATGTGAAGTCATGATGCTCCTTTCACCTAACTCTTCCAGTTTTCTCAAATCCTGTCCAAAATGCTGCTGTTTCAGTGACCTCTTCCTAGATTCCACAACCTGGTGAACATTGCTATCTCATTTGAGTTCCCACTATCCTTGGCTTGTGCCTTTTGTAAGATAGGTCTGATGTGGGACTTGAGTGGTATTTTGCTGTGAGTCTGAACTCCATTAATGGTCTGTAAGTTCCTTAGGGGAAGTTCACTCCTCTGTTTTTGAATGCAGATGGTCTAGTTTTGAATGCAGTAAAGGCCTCAATAATTTCAATTTCCCCACTTCCTTTTCACGTTTTGAGTGGTCGTAAGAGGCAGTATAAAGTTGTGATGGAGTTAGAGTGTGTGGGCTGGTAGCCTGACTCCGCCATTTATTAGCAATGTGACCTTGAACAAGTTACTTAGCTTTTCTGAGGCTGTCGCCTCACGTGTGAAATGGGGTTTAATAGTATTTATAGCATTGGCTTGTTTTGAGGATTAAAAAAGTTAATACAGAGTACTAAAAACAGGAGCTAAAACCAAGTAAGTATTAGCAACTTTTTTTGGCCCATTTGCCTATAAGCTGTCTTCACATCTCTATTCATTGTCTTTATTTAAATTCTTGTATTCCCAAGTGGAATTCCCCAACTTCCTCCATTGCCTGTGTGGAATACTCCTCAGTCCTTCCTGATCTCAGATATCCGGCTCTCCCTGCTTGCCAAGTACCATATTCTCTTCTTCCTCCATCCGTTTGTGCTCCACACGAGAATATAAACAGAAAACTTTGTCTTTATTGCAACCTTCATATAGTTTATTATTTTATTTTCATCTTATTTTCTTTCTGTCCATAACGAGTCAAAAAGAGCTGAACTTTTCTATTTGTTTCCATTTTACTTAATGTTTTTATAGCAAGGGTTTTCCCTTGGTTCAATTTTAGCTTCTGTTTTCTAGTGAAGAGTAGCTGAGTGAATCCCCCCACCCCACCCCAGGTCTAAGTTATTTTTTTGACCTGACTTAAATCAGTCGCCGCAGTTCATATATTTTTTATTTTCATTTATTCACAATATTTTCTCCATTTCTGAGTGTTAATTGTAGTCAGCATTGTTATTTGCTAATGTTACAGGTCAAGTTATTTCAGAACGGTTCTGTGTGCTTCAGCTGACACTTGCCGTCCTCCCTGTCATCACATATTGAGTCAGATCTGCGTGAGGTTGAGCGCTGTAACATTTCAGCCACTGAGTTTGTGTTTTTAAGGTAGCTCATTTATTTTCGCTCCATATTTAGGTAATGCCATGAAGGGAACAAGACCTTTATCTAATTTCATGTCTCAGGCATTATAAAATGCTGAGTCATAGTGCATCTGAAGGCTGCTCTCACTAGGCAAATGATTTAAAGTTTGAAGTTGGAGTGATTTCAGATTTCTGCTAGGTTTATATTGTTCAATTTCTTTTATCTTTTTTTTTTTAATTTGGTATACTTGTGTAACTTTGTGGGGTTGAGGTGGGGAGTAGGTGGATAAGGACTAGGGAGAGACTGTATGAACCAGAAAAGCCATTCATATTGTTCCCAGCTAACTGAATACAGAGCCATGTAACCCATTATTTTAGATAGCCTTGTGTATATGATTCAGGCAGTTCAAACAGTAGTTTTGCTTTCTGCCTTTTATCTAACTAGTTTTTTTTGTGTGTTTGTGTTTTTTTGTGCTGCTGTTGTTGTGTGGGGTGTTCTATAAATCTAACTAGTTTTGAATGTACAGAGCAGGTGACGCCATTTTAAATATTTTTCATGGTATATGGAAGGCAGTACTCTTGTCATGAGGATATTAGTGCCATTAGAATCGATGATTGTTGGTACTCTGAGAAGAAAAAATTGTGGGGTTTGGATCACTGGATAGTCTGCATTCCTTGCAGTTGCTAAACTGGATTGTTTAGTGATAGGACGCATGGTTATATATAGTATATATGTATCTATGTTTACATACATATATACATTTGTATACATACACATGTACGTATAGTGTATATGGCTGTATAGCCCCACTGCTAACCTGTCAAACCCTGTCATGACAAACCCTTCCAAGTCAATTAGCACATTTAAACTTTCAGTTTGCTTATATCATTGCAATGGTATAGTAAGCAGAGAAAATGGAAAGTTTAACCATTTGTGTGGGGAAAAATAGTGGTGAAAATATGTCTATATATTAATTCATTCATCAAATATGTATTATGGACCCACTGTGTGTCAGGCACTTTTTAGGGCTAAGGATACAATCATAAACAAAACAAAATCTCTTCCTTCACAGAACTTACATCCTAGTGGTGAAGACAGAAGGTAAACAAACAAGTAAATATACAGTATAACAGATGAGAAAGAAGAGAGATAAGGAAGTATTGAAGTTGGACACTATTTTTATTTTTGGTATTTGGGGAAGACTTCATTGATAAGGTGATATTTGAACTTTAAAGGAAGTGAGGGAGTTAGCTACGAGTATATTTGAGAAAACTTCCCAGCAGTGGGCCTGCAAAGGCCTTAAGGCAGAGCATGCCTGGTTTATTAGAGGAAGGAAGCCAGTATGGCTGGGTGACAGCAAGTTAAGGAGATAGTAGGATTTGAAGTCAGACGTTGTGAAAGACCCAATTAGGTCCATTGTAAAGACTTTGGCTTTTACCCTGAATGAGATGGGAAGCCATTAAAGGGTTTGAGCAGAAGAGAAACATAAACCAAGTGGTATTTTAAATGCATCTGGTGGCTGTGTTGAGAATCTATTGTAATAAAACCCTGGAGAGGGATGACTTGGGCCCAGGTAGAAGAGCTGGAGTTGGTGAGGAATGGTTGGATTCTGGATATATTTTGAATTTGGAGCTGATAGAATTAAATTTGGGGCGGAAATGGGAGTGGGGTAAAAATAAGCGTTCATGTTAAATTAGAAATGCTTATTAGACGTTCAAGGAGCAATGCTGAGGAAGCAGTGGGTTTATAAGAATAGAGTTAGAAGGGCTGCAGTCCAGGCTGAAGATGTAAATTTAGGACCCTGTCAACACATTGATGGTGTATAAAGAGATAAGACTGGGTAATCTCACCTATGATAGTTGACTCAATAACTGCACATTAGAACCCCTAGAGGAACTTTTTTAAAATTCCAGTGTCCTCCCAGAGCTCCTGACTGAATTGATCAGAAATAGGGCAAGACATTGTTGTAAGGCCAGCTGGCCCGAGGCAGGGGAACGCAATCAGATTCACAGGTTGCATCAGACGGAAACTCTCCAGACCACCCAGTTCCAGAAACTGACCTGGAGACTTGCCGGACCACCCAGTTCCAGGAACTGACCTGGGGACTTTCCACCCGGCCCAGCCTTCCCGCCTTTCGAGGGGCGGGACTAACGGTCCCCCACGATACCCGAAAAGACCACCAAATAAGGAATACCCTGCGCCCTCCTGGATTTACCACACCCGTTTCTCTTCTTCCCCTATAAATTCTGCCCAAACCCTCACCCGGGCGCGACTTCTCTGGCCCCTTTCTCTCAGAGCAATGTACCTCACTCGGGAGCGCTCCCTAATAAAGCTCACTTGAAGCTTTCCTCTGTTTTGCGGTGCCGTTTAAGATCTGACCTTACAATTGTATTCTTAAAAATAGTCTGTGGTGGGCTTCCCTGGTGGCGCAGTGGTTGAGAGTCCGCCTACTGATGTAGGGGACGCGGGTTCGTGTCCCGGTCCGGGAGGATCCCGCATGCCACGGAGCGGTTGGGCCCGAGAGCCATGGCCACTGAGCCGGCGCATCCGGAGTCTGTGTTCCGCAAC